TTCCTTGGTTATGCCTCCGAGTCAAAAGGGTATCGTCTATGGTCTCCTGATTCTCGGAAAATCATTCTGAGTCGTGATATCACTTTTGATGAAAATGCACTACTTTCTTCTGGAAAAGTTCCCAGTACAGGTGAGACGCAGAGTACTGGTGAGAAGGTGGAGTTTGAGTTCAGGCCTATTGACAGTATTACTACCACTGATGGTAATACTAAAGATGATGCATCTACTAGCACCGCACCTCTCGTCGAGCCACAACGAGAGTATTCCATTGTTATGGATCGTCCTAGGAGGACAATCAAAAAACCTGCTAGGTATGCTAGTGATGATGAAACCAACATGGTTGCTTATGCACTTTCAGTCACACAGGAAGTTGATGGTGATCCATCCTGCTATTCTGAGGTTCTTCCTGTTGCTAAGTTCAAGTAGAGTTTGAGCTTAGTCGATTGCTCCAATTACTAATTCAACAATGGATTTGATCCAAGGTGGAGATTGTTAGAAAATAATTTGTGTGGCTCAAAATCCATGAAGAATTAATCTTCCGCTGTTGTCCATGTCGCATGCACAAGCCACCACTTCGCACGACTTGGCACGTCTTCATTATGCTTACCGCATTTGTCTTTTTTCTTAAGCTATAAATAGCCTTTGCTTTCATTTGTAATAGCACATCAATTTTGAATTCATTCTTCCTTCTTTTGTCTTTTTCTCTCACGTAGACATATATATATATATATATATATATATATATATATATATATATATATATATATATATATATATATATATATATATTTCTTTTAATTCTCTTTATAGAGATTAATATATATATTTATATTTTCCCATCCTTATTAATTTGTTTTGTCATTTATATATTTTCCCCATTATTTAACTTTTATAATTCTCAATTTTCGATTCTTCGCTTCCGCTATATTCCTAACAGTTAAGTATTTTAATACTTATTTTATAACATTTCATTTTTGTGAGCTTTTATAATGAGTTATGAATTGTAAAAATTATTTAACTTGATTAATTAATTTATATGAAATATATTTTGTGATTCAGTTATTAAAAAAAAAATTAAATGATATTTTACTTTTTCTTTATGAATTATCTATTCAATATAATCTAGAAGTTTCTATTATGTGTCATCATATTCAAATTATTATTATTTTTTAAATTGAAATTGATATAGCTTAAAGAAAAAATATTTATAAATATCATATCGATATATGAGATGTGTGATTTATAATGTATTTTGTATTCTAACAATATTATCCAATTAATTATGTTTCATATTTTGTTATGAATATTTTATTATATTTTGAAGTATTTCTATTTCTCTCCCCCAATCAAGATGATTATATTTTAAACTCCATGTTTGTATGTTTTGTTTTATAAATGTTTATTAGGAAAATGCTTCTTTCCCCTCTTAATATTTACCTCCAAACTTTTCTCTCATGATGTGGCTTTCATCATTAGATGTCAATGAATTGACTAACCCACCACTAACTAATATAAGAGGGGTTTGTAGTATTGCTCTTTCTATTAATAACTAATTTATTATTTATTATGATAACAATATTATTGTTTGTAAGCTTATTTGATTTTCAATTGATTATTCATTTTATAAACTATAATTATTTATTTATGAAGGGATTGATGTGGTTATTGATTAGTTTGCATTTAGAAAAAGTATCTAGAATTTTTTTTCATTATTATTGCTTATGTAATATTGTTAAAAACTTCATAATCTTATTTAAGTTATAGTATTTTTATCATTATGTAATTTAAATTTTAGATATGAAAATATATGTTTTAAGTCATGGGCCTATTTTTTTTTTATATGTCCCGGGCATATAAAATAATAGGATCGGGCCTGATTGGTGAGACATAATGTTTTGAGTTTGAACTTTGTTGGCTACACTTCTATACAATAGTTATGCGTTGGACCTGTGTCCAGCATGCTTGCTGGACACGGGTAACAGTGTCGTTAGGCACTGTTATCTCCTTTTTTTTTTTCTTTTTTTTTTTTTTAATTTCAGACCGCTTCGTTATAGGAGTATATGTTCATAATTTTATTACTATATGTTAATAACTGTACATTCATAACTCCATAACTGTACGTTCATAACTCTATAACTGTACATTCATAACTCCATAACTGTACATTCATAACTCCATAACTGTACATTCATAACTTCATAATTGTACATTCATAATTTTCGAAGCTCTATGTTCACAATTTTAGAGCTCTATGTTCATAATTTTATCACTATATGTTCATAATTGTAAGTTCATAATGTTAGAGCTCTTTGTTCATAATTCGATCAATAACTGTACATTCATAATTCCATACTGTAGATTCATAATCTCATAACTGTAGATTCATAACTCCATAACTGTAGATTCATAACTCCATAACTATAGATTCATAACTCTATAATTGTACATTCATAATCTTCGAAGCTCTATATTCACAATTTTAAAGCTCCATGGTCATAATTTTATCACTATATATGTTCATAATTGTAAGTTCATAATGTTAGAGCTCTGTGTTCATAATTTCATAATTGCATAACTGTACATTCATAACGGCATAACTGTACATTCATAATCCAAAAAAAAAAAAAAATAACGCCGTTAACGCCAAAACGCGTGCGGATTTTTTTTTTTTTTTTTTAACTAAATGACGCGTTTTTTTTTGAAAAACGACGTCGTTTTGGGCCCGTGTCCACAATTCATTGTGGACACGGGTCCAGGGCATAATTTGCCACTTCTATAGCTCTTTTTGCTCCCTCACCTTCCAACCCTCAATCGTAATATCGTGCACAGGGTGCATAATGCATTGTGCGCCCTAACAAATTCTTAGTTTCGTATGTACAAAATTGTATAGTAGAATACACATAGACTCTTAACATACACAAAAACTCTTACACATAATACACAAACTCTTAACATAATACACATGAAAAAAAATTGTAATGGGATTGGACGGACAGAACGGTGTCCGTCGCGTCAACTCCCCAACTTATAGAAACGACGTTGTTTTGGGTCAGGGCACACAATGTGCAAGATATAATTTGCCTCCAACCTGAATGCCTCAAATTTTCTTGGGCCAAGACTTCACCAACATACCAAGATCTTATCAATAAAAATAAACGAGTTAGTCCTCAACTATAGTGATTTTACTCAATTAAGTCCTAAATGATTTTTTATGCTTAATTTATTCATCAACTTTGAAGATTTTACACAATTTAATCCTTTGTTAAAAATTCTGTTAGTTGACTATTAGAAATATGGCCCTAATGGTAATTTCTCATCTTTCATCACATTTGATATGATTCCTTCTTCTTCCCCTTATTAAGATCCATGCAGAAATGTAAATCTTCGTACCCAAATATTTATTTATTTAGGGTTGAAGTTGATTTGGGTACGAAGATTTGTATTTTTGCGTGGATCTTAATAAGGGGAAGAAGAAAGAATCATGAAAGATGAGAAATTACCATTATGACCTTATTTCTAACAGTCAACTAACAAATTTTTTAACAAATAACTAAATTGTGTAAAACCATCGCAATGGACAAATAAATTGAGCACAAAAAGTCTAGTAGAACTAAATTGAGTAAAATCACTATTGTCGAACACTATATTAGGTATTAACTCAAAAATAAACCCACATAAAATGATTATTCGTGTACTGTTTTTATGCTAACTTTTAACAAAATTAAATATTTGTAAAAAATTTTAGTCTAATGAGAATTTTCTTTTTAACAAAAAAATTATTATATTGTTTTGCTCTATCCCTTTTACCTCCTAAGCGGGCTAAGTCCTAAGCGGTATGGTCAGCCATGAGAATGATAAAACTCCAGCTGATAAAAAAAATAAAATTATTTGATCGAATTGGAACAGAAGCCAGTCAGCCACATACGAGTTTGGTAAAAGTTAGGATGTTGTGACATAAGCGCACATGTCACGTTGGGAGATATGATTTTGAATGTACTTTAATTTGTAAATACAAGTGAAGTTGTAATTAATAAGAGCATTTACATTAATGGATTTTGAGAGGTTTTCTATTTATTTATTTATTTATTTTTGAATTTTACTCACTCTGTTATAATGTAGTATCTGTTCATAACTATTTTCTCAACATATTGAAGCACAAAAGATAATACTAAGACTCGAATCCACAACTTTTCATATGGGAGAGTAACTTAGTGTCACTAGACCACAAAATTTTTGACATTTTAAGAAGTTCCTCAAAGAAAGAACTTGGATGAATTTTTTAATAAATGGAGAGGGGTTTTTGGGAATTTTTATTCTTTTGAATAATAAATTTTTGTGGGATCCATTGTTAGAGCAACATCAATAGCTCTAACAACTACTCAATTATCACTTATTGAATGAGTATATGGAAATGGTAGTTGTTATAAATCATAATCAGAGCATTTATATAAAAGGGATTGAGGAATCTGAATTATCTGATGGACTTTTGTGTGCACTAATCAAACATAAAAGTGTACATAATGATTCACTTTACACCCAAGAATTAGAAAGCAACGTATATTTAATATATATAATAAACAAACCACATTTTGATCTTTAATTAATAATTATGAAGATATAATCAACTCAAACACCAAGCGCATGTGTTCAATTGACACTTCTGTGGCTCTCTTTGAGAGAAAAGGTCTGAGATCAAACTTCAATTGTGGAATATTGACTCTTTATTCTACAACGATTGAAAAAGTATATTAAACAATACTTACATTAATAGAGTCGATAGTAGCAAAATAAAAACAAATGTCAATTACTATTCCTATGCTATTCAATCAATACTTTTACTATTCCAATACATATTATATTCCTCTTTGTATGGTTCAACCTGACGCCCCATGAGATTGAAAAATTAAACTAAGATTGTTAGGTACAAATTAAATAAAATAAATTTCCAATCAGCATCTATCTATCTATCTATATAAGGAGCTCATTTGGATCAACTAGGAACCAAAATCACTTGAGATTAGCGAAAGCCATCCAATTAAGAAACATGTCAGAAGTAGAGGTGCTAGGGGGTCCTTTGAGCCCATTCAGTTTCAGAGTGGAGATCGCCCTTAAACTGAAGGGCATACAATATGATTTCATACAAGAAGAAGATTATCGCTTCAACAAGAGCCCTTTACTTCTAAAGTATAACCCTGTCCACAAGAAGATCCCCGTGCTGCTCCACAATGGGAAGTCCCTTGCCGAGTCTCTCATCATTCTTGAATACATTGATGAGACATGGGACAACAACACTGCCCCTCTCTTACCTAAAGACCCTTATCAGAGAGCTCAGGCTCGTTTTTGGGCTAAATTTATCGATGAAAAGGTACGATAATCATCCTCCATCTCCATTGTATTTAATTTGTTAGTTTTATGATTTTTGGACAGTTTAATGGTCGTCGTACAGCACTAAGGTTAAAATAACAAGTATATATATGAGAAAGATAGACTTAATATAGAGAGAATTGAATAAATATTTTCTATTATGGAAAATTGCTTGTCCTTATCCCTATGTATGGGCAAATTATGTTGTGGACTCGTGTCCACAATGCATTGTGGACACGGGTCCAAAACGACGTCGTTTTAAGGGAAAACGCAACATTCCAGTTAAAAAAAATAAATTGATTTTGTATCGCTGTTAACGGCGTTATTCGTTTGTGGCATTATGAATGTACAATTATGGAATTATGAATGTACAATTATGGAATTATGAATGTAAGTTATGAATTATGAACACAGAGCTCTGACATTATGAACTTACAATTATGAACATATAGTGATAAAATTATGAACATAGAGCTCTAAAATTGTGAGCATAGAGTTTCGAAAATTATGAATTTACAGGTATTGAATTATGAATGTACAGTTACGGAATTATGAATGTACAGTTATGCAATTATGAATGTACAGTTATGGAATTATGAACACAAAGCTCTGACATTATGAACATATAGTAATAAAATTATGAACATATGCTCCTATAACAAAATGGTCCGAAATTTTAAAAAAAAAATGGTGGAAGATAACGGTGCCATTAATGGCACAGTTATCGTGTCCATATTGCATGCTGGACACGGCAATTTATATCCTACACCACAGCGTGCGTTGCATTGTGCGCCCAGATGCAAAACGACGTCGTTTCAATTTTATTTTATTTTATTTTTTGAAATTTTCCGCCCCAGTGTTTGGCAGTTAATTTTTCTTTAAAAAAAAAGCCCATGTCCAAAAATGTACATAATGTTATACATGAATGTACATAATTGTATACATGAATGTACATAATTGTATAACAAAATATACATACTGTTTTTTAAAAGATAATACATATAATCTAACATAATACATAATAAACATAAACGTTTAACATAATACACATCAACTCTTAACATAATACACAAAAATTTCCTGATTCGGATGTACATAAGTGTATAAAAAGAATATACATAATTGTATAAAAAATGTACATAATTATATGAACAAATATACATAATTGTATGAACAAATATACATAATCACAGTAACTTCCTACCGCGTCTTCCAAAACGACGTCGTTTTGGGAGGCGCACAATGCTACGCGCGCCGTAGTTTATGGTATAACGATTGGCTGAATACGGGTCCATAGTATAACAATTGCTATGTATGAGGGTGGGCTAAAGAGTCGCTTGTTCTTCTACCTATTTATATGGTGGGTTGAGAGCCATCCTATTAAACTCCTATTGGATGTCCTTTGGGCCTGATTCAATTGCTTCGTGGGCTTGTACCATCCGGTCTTGAGATCTTTTGGTCAATCGTTATGCTATGGACTTGTATCCAGCATGTATTGTGGACACGGTAACACTACCGTTAATGGCACCGTTATTTTCTACTATTTATTTTTTTTTTTAAATTTCAGACCGCTTTGTTATAGGAGTATATGTTCATAATTTTATTACTACATGTTCATAATTGTAAGTTCATGATGTCAGAGCTCTGTGTTCATAATTCTATAACTGTACATTCATAATTGCATAATTGTACATTCATACTTACATAACTGTACATTCATAATTCTGTAAATGCACATTCATAATTCAATAACTGTAAATTCATAATTTTCGAAGCTCTCTGTTCACAATTTTAGAGCTCTATGTTCATAATTTTATCACTATATGTTCATAATTGTAAGTTCATAATGTCAGAACTCTGTGTTCATAATTTCATAACTGTACATTCATAACTCCACAAACGAATAACGCTGTTAACGGCGAGACAGAATCAATTTCTTTTTAATTGGAATGCCGCGTTTTCCCTAAAAACGACGTCGTTTTGGACTCGTGTCCACAATACAATACACGAGTCCACAGCATAATTTGCGTCTTTTGGTCCAACCAGCTGTTTGCCAGTTGTTATACTATGGACCATAGTTAACAGAGTTTTGTTGACCATGGTCCAAAGACGACGTTATTTCTTTAAGTAAAGAAACGGCAGTCGTTACTTTTTAACAAATTCTGTATTTTTTGTGTGTTCATAACAAAATGAAACTACAGTCTATCTAAAATGAAACTGTCTCGCATATTGTGTTTATATTACCAAATGAAACTATAATTGAATTGAAATTATACTTTAGTTGTGTTGAAATGAAACTGCAGTATGTATAAAATGAAACTGAATAGCATGTCTCACATATTGAGTGTATATTGTCAAATAGAACTGTAGTTGAATAAAATGATACTTTAGTTTTGCTGAAGTGATACTTCAGTATGTCTAAAAAGAAATTGAATAGCATGTCTCACATATTGAGTGTATATTGTCTGATGAAACTGTACTTGTGTTGTAATAATGAAACTACCGTGTATATAAAATGAACTGAATAACATATTCAAATATTTGACTGTATATTGTCCAATGAAACTATAGTTGAATTAGAATTATAATTTAGTGGTGTTGTAATAAGACTACAGTGTGTATAAAATGAAATTCAATAACATGTCTCATTGTAATAATAAGACTATTGTATGTATAGTGTCGAATGAAACTGTAGTTGAAACAAAATGAAATTGTAGTTGTGCTGAAATAAAACTACAATAATGTATATAAAATGAAATTGAATATGTTATACAAGCGGAACTAATTATGCAAAATGGGTGCCGATTTCATTAAAAGAAACGACATCGTTTTGGACCATGGTCCACAGTAAAATTTGCCGGTTGGACCGATCAACGCCCTAGCACCCTATCGATATATTATATATATGCTCAATACGAGCCTCACCCGTGATCTTTGACATGGATTGGCTTGATACCCAATTGAAGCAAGTGTTTAATCTATCCCAACTAAAAACATAAATTGCACTAATGCATATTTATGTTTATATATTAAATATACGCTCAACAGTGCGTGGCTGCAACGCGAAAAATACTGTATGCTGAAGAAAGCGAGAAGGCAAGAGACGAAGTGCAGGGGGCCCTAAACCTTCTGGTTGATGAACTCAACGGGAAAACATTGTTCGGAGGAGAGAGTGTGGGACTTGTGGATATCGCTGCGATTGTGGTAGGATATTGGATTGATGTTATTCAAGAGGCAGCAGGGCTGGAAGTTCTGAGCAGAGAAAAACATGCAAAAATATATGAATGGATGGAGGCGTTGATGAGTAAGTGCAGTGTTATCAAGGAAAATCTGCCTCCCAGAGATAAATTACTGGCCTACTACCAGGCTCGTATTATCGGAAAAGGAATCATTGCCCATTGAGTCACCGTGATTTACATCTTCCCACATACTCTGTTGTGGGCTCTTAAGGTTGGGGATTCAGCCTTTGGGGTAAGGAAAAGGAACCATTATTCATCACTGATATATAATTGCTATATTATTATTGACCAATAAAAGGCAAATTCGGGAAAATAAATTCTGTTTTTTTTTTTTTTTTATATTAGAAGTTGTATCAATATAATTATGATATTTTATAACTCTAGCTCATTTGTATGGTATTCTCGTTGAATTTTAATAATATTGTTGTTTCTTTGAAAAAAAAAAAAAAAAACAACATACTCACTGCTCAATTTGTTTAAACATTGTCTCACACTCTCACCACACAATCCTCGTATTAGAATTTAGTTATTTAAACATACTCACTGCATGCTCAGTGCTCATATTTATATAAATTGATAAAATTGAAACAAATTATGACACTCTTTAAACAAATTGAACAAATTGAGGCACTGTTCATATTCATATATAAAAAGCACATTCATAGACGGAACAAATTCACATTCACAAATTAAACAAATTGAGTTGAAACACTGCTCTGTCTACTCACATTCATCAACAAATTGAACAAAGAACATACAAAAAGCACATACATATGTTCTAAGAAATTAGGGCAAAAATAAAATTAGATAAAGTAGGGCAAAAATACAAACCTGAGTCGTAAGAGGAGACAAGAGGTGGTGTTCCTGCGGTCCTGCTAACCAGTAAGGCGGCGGGCCGGCGACCGGTCACCGGTGTGGCGGTGTTCCGTGTTTGGTGGCGACTGGCAAGGTGGGAGCGTGCGGCACAAACAAGGACAGAGTGACAGAGCCGGACGCCGAGACCGAGAGGGGCAGTAGCCGGACACCGGTAATTTCGATAGGCGGTAGCAAGACTGCGAGAGCCAAGACGCGAGAGAGTTAGAGAGACGAGAGGTTTGCTGTGAAAAAAAAGTGAAATAATGAAAATTTAAAAAAAAAAAATTATGTATATAATAAATTGAAACATGTGCTCCATCTCAACTAAAAGCCTAAGCTGATAGTTGGAGATTGCACCTTTGGTCTGGCTCTGATACCTGGGAACACGCCCCTCATGTGTGAGGTGGAAGTCGCTGCCCCCTCACGTGTGAGGTGGGTTCCAAGCAACACGTGAACCGTAGTCGCTTATGGGTGGTGTTGAAATTCGAAACCATGACCTTTGGTCTAGCTCTGATACCAAATTAAATTATGTGCTCCATCTCAACAAAAAGCCTATACTGATAGTTGGATTGCACATTAATGATTATATGCTCACATAATACAGCCCCAAAACGACGTCGTTTTGAGACTGTATAATTTTTTTGCCATGGGAGCAGCTACCCTCACTGCCCCCAGGCCATCTCCTTCTCTGTCTCTCAAGTCTAATCATATTATTCTTCTAATCATGACCTACAATTAAGGTGATTGGTTAAAATGTTTAATATGTTTTTTTCCCACTAAATCCATTCTTTTAATCATGATCTATAAGTAAATCATGACCTACAATTAGGGTGATTGGTTAAAATGTTTAATATGTTTTTTTCCCACTAAATCCATTCTTTTAATCATGATCTATAAGTAATGTGATTGGTTAAAATGTTTAATAGGGGTGAACAACTGATGCACATCGATCTAAACATCCTAAGATGCACCGAACTAAGCGTACCAATGTACATGCATCCTCATAAGTCATAACCTGTTGTGCCACCCCTAAAGGTGTTAGGGAACAGAGCTTTTGAAAAACTATTCGTGTTTGTGTTTAGTAAGCGTTCGTTTAATAAGGTAAACGAACATAAATTGTTAGACATTATATTATTATTAGATTTATAATGTATAGTTTATATTCCTGTAGCTTAGTCTTGGTTTGTTATTTCTAGTCTAGAGTTCAGGAGACTTATGTGGTTGCTTTCATATAGGGCTCTATCTTGTAATCTCTGAATTGAATTTGAATTTCTAAACTCATCTGGTATCAGCTTAGCGTTAGGCTTATTCGATCCCTCTTTCCCTAATTTCTCTCCACCACCCATCATGTCGACGAATTCATCCGAGCGCACGGTGACCACCACCATCGCCGCTGCCCACACCACCACAAATTCCCTTAGCTCTGCTCATCACTTTGTGTCGATGAAGCTAACGAATCGTAATTTTTTGTTCTGGCGTGCTCAACTCCTACCATTTCTCCGCGGGCAAGGGTTGCTCGGGTATATTGATGGCACCCTACCCTGTCCGCCGGCCACCATTACCGTTACGCAGCAGACCAGCGAGTCGGGCGCCACCACCTCCGGTCCATCCGCCGTCCCTAACCCAGAATACGAAAGGTGGTTGCAGCAGGATGCTTCCATTCTTTCCCTTCTTATCTCGTCGCTGGTTGACGAGGTAATGCCTCATGCTCACGGCCGGAACACCACCAGGGAGGTCTGGGAATCACTCACGGCGGCGCTAGCGTCTTCTTCAAGAGCACGGTGTTTGAACCTACTGGGCCAGATTCAAACTCTCCGGCAAGGCAGTAGCACACCGGCAGAGTATCTAGGCAAGGCGGGGGTGATCGTGGAGGCCCTGTCGCTCGCCGGCCGCCCGCTCTCACTCGACGAGCAAACGTTATATGTTCTGCGGGGGCTCCGGCCGGAGTTCCGAGCAATGGCGAGCGCTCTCACGGTCACAGGTACTCCCGTCTCCCTCTCTCAGTTATCTGATCTGCTACAGACTCAAGAATTCATCCAGGCAGATGAGTTCTCTGCTTCGGATCACTCTGCGACAGGCGGAGCACTGGCGGCCTTCTATGCGGGGCGTGGCAGTAACAGTGGAGGACGCTCCGGCTATGGTGGACGGCACTCCACGAACAACGGCAATCAGAATCACTGAGGCAGAGGCCGTGGGCGAGGTGGCCGCTGCCGTGGCAATCCGCGCTGCCAGATCTACCGGAGCCACGGACACACTGTCGTAACCTGTAACAAGCGCTACACCGACTCCCCAGGTCTGCATGCGCACATGGCAGTCTCAGGTGATGCTCCAGCAGACTCAACGGTTGACGGCTGGTTCCCGAACACGGGTGCAACTACCCATGCCACGCCGGACGATCAGATGCTTGGCCGATCGGAAAGCTACACCGGCGGGGACGTACTCACCGTCGGAAATGGTGCAGGTTTGAACGTTTCTCGTGTTGGCCTTACGGTTATCCCTTCTGCGTCTAAATCTTTACACCTATCAAATATATTGCATGTCCCAAAGTTGTCACTACCTCTTTTATCCGTATATAAATTCACGAATGATAACGATGTGTATTTTGAGATTCACAAGGATTTATTTGTTGTGAAGGACTGCACCACCAAGGCGGTTCTTCTTAAGGGGTTCACCACTGGCGAACTGTACAAATTATTGGTCCCCTGGTCACATTTTGCGTATCTTACCGCCAGAGCGTCACCCACGGTGTGACATCAACGCCTAGGTCATCCACATAAACAGGTCCTCCAACGTGTCTTACAACACTGCCCGGTCACAAATAAAGCCAGTTCGTCAAAAGTGTGCACGGCGTGTCAACTTGGCAAGTCGGCGCGGTTTCCCCTTGATCGTGTTCCTAGATCTAGTTTTGAAATTTTAGATTTGGTGTATACGGATATCTGGGGTCCGTCCCCTGTTATTTCTGATTCTGGATACCGTTATTTTGTTTTATTTGTAGATGACCATTCGCGTTTTTCCTGGTTTTATCCGCTTCGGCTAAAATCGGACATATATAAAACTTTTGATTTATTCCGGGCAATGGTAGAACGGCGGTTTTCCCGTTCTATCAAAGCCATCCAGTCTGATTTAGGAGGCGAATATCGTCGTCTACATAGTACTTTTGAATCCCTCAGTATCATACACCGACAATCCTGCGCATACACTCACGAACAAAACGGCCGAGTTGAGCGCCGGAACATACATATTGTCGAAACCGGTTTAGCACTACTTGCTGAAAGCTCAGCTCCGCTTAAATACTGGGATTATGCTTTTGAAACAGCCACTCAATTAATCAGTTGCTTACCATCCTCTACAGTACAGTTCCAAAGTCCCCATTATCGCCACCACAAAACTCTCCCAAACTACACTTTCTTTCGTGTCTTCAGGTGTAGATGTTTTCCCTATCTAAGGCCCTACAATCGGCATAAGATAGAGTTTAGATCTGCACCGTGTGTGTTCCTAGGTTACCCTGTTTCATTTAGGGGATACCGCTGTATGGACCTAACAACGGGAAAAGTTTTTATCTGCCGCCATGTTCGGTTCGATGAGACTGTTTTCCCTTTTGCTATGCAGGAAACTTTGCAGGGTGGCCCGAGTGTTGTAGACTCGTCCATTCCATGGGCTTTCGCCCCAGTCATGGTTCCCTCACATGGGGCACCGGTGCTGAATGAGCCCCCTTTGGCTCAAGAACCGGCACCTCTGGCAATTGAAGCACCACCAGTTCGTGCAAAGCCCCGTACAAAAATTGCCCCTACTGCACAAGTTGAGCACACTATGTGTACTCGTCATAAGACACATGGCACCGGAGAGGAGTTCTTTGCCCTTAACACTACTGTGGACCCTACGTGTTATTCACATGCAGTTGGCCATCCGTAGTGGCGGGAGGCTATGGACCAAGAGTCAACGCACTTTTACATAACAACACGTGGCATTTAGTTCCAGCTACACCTCATGGGTATCTCGTAATCAGCGCATGTCGCAAGGTCCTCCACAGAGGCTGAGTATAAAGGTCTAGCTGATGTCTCCGCAGAGGTCACGTGGATTGTTTCGCTACTCCAGGAATTAGGGTTGTCCTCCGGTAAACCAGCTACACTCTGGTGTGATAACCTTGGAGCTACATACCTCGCCGCAAATCCAGTTTTTCATGCTCGCACAAAACATGTTGAAATCGACTATCACTTTTTTCGAGATAAAGTTGCATCCGGAGACTTCATTGTTAGTTTTGTCTCTACCAAGGAGCAGCTGGCAGATATCTTCACCAAACCTCTTCCTGCGATGCGTTTTCAGAATCTTCGAGGCAAGCTCAATGTTGTTCCTCTCCCTCCTTGAGCTTGAGGGGGAGTGTTAGACATTATATTATTATTAGATTTATAATGTATAGTTTATATTCCTGTAGCTTAGTCTTGGTTTGTTATTTATAGTCTAGAGTTCAGGAGACTTATGTGGTTGCTTTCATATAGGGCTCTATCTTGTAATCACTGAATTGAATTTGAATTTCTAAACTCATCTAAATGACCAATTTTTAGAGTTCAGTTCAGAAATGAACAGAGTCTGAACAGTTGTAGCCTTGTTTGCTAAAAGCTCGTGAACAAACTCATTTGTGTTAGTTTAATAATATTCACGAACAACTCGTTTAGTATTCGTTTAATAATGTTTATGAACATGTTCACACACACACACACACATATATAGTTGTTGTGTTGTTTGTTTAGTTATTGTTTGTGAATATAGATTATTTATTGTTCACGAACGAATTGTGACCATAAACATAAGCATGTGTTTGGTTATTAAGTGTTCACGAACGTGTTTGCAAATGTTAACGAACATATTCGTGAACGTGTTCGTTAACGTTAACGAACACTAATGAACGCTTAACAAACGATCACGAAAATGATTTTTAAAAACCTTAACAAACGAACGTGAACATAAACACTCTAAAAATCATAACAAACGAACACGAACAATCTCTGTTCGTTTATGTTCGGTTCATTAACAGCCCTAACCATCCCCAACAAATATCGCTGTTAGGCGTTGGTGGCAAATTATTGTGTGGACCATGGTCCATACAATTGTGTGGACCATGAATATCATGTACATTTTTAATATATTAAAAGTATATTATTTTGTACTGAAGGTACATTATTTTTGTACTAAATGTACATTATATAAAATAATGTACCTTTAGTATATTAAAAATGTACTTTTAAAAAATGTACCTTACGTACATAAATAATGTACCCTTAGTATATTAAAATGTACTTTTTATTTATGGTCCACACAATTATGTGGACCATGGTCCATGCAATAATGATTGGGCGTTGGTCGGGTAGGCCGAGTTCAGTCCCTGTTCGATTCGAGACGTGGCGCTGCGATTTACTATGGAGGGATGTGGTTAAATTATTAATATTCACCTACTTATCACCAATTAGTTTTAAGTATGATATGACAATCAGATAATCAAAAAATTATGTGATTAAGCATGCTTGACTTACAGCAATTACAAAATGGATGACCCTGTAAGCATAATACACCCAACGCTGAGATCCATCGATTGTTCATTCTTAATTTTTATTTTTCAAATTAAGAATTAGAAAAAGAAAAAAAAAATTCTCACTACGCACTAAACAGGCCCAAAACGTTTACGGAATTTTGAAAATTTACTTTATAAAAACTTCAGGCCGTTAGCCCATAAGGTGTGTAATCTCATTCGTTCAAAAGCATATCAATTGTTATATGAGTTCATATTGTATTGTAAATTTTGATGAAAAAATTATATGCCTGTAGTTAATATATTCTATACGTGTAATTAATAATTTTTGTATCTGTAATAACATGGTAATTTTAAACACATAATATGATAACTAAAAACATATAAATTGCTAACTGAAAATATATAATATGTTAATTACGAATAGATAAGATGTTGGTTAAATGTTATGTATTGACCGTTAACAATTTGTGTATTCATTAAAAAAAAAAAAAAAAAAAAAAAAAGAGCAAAGTGTGATATAATTGTACACCCAATGGAATATAACAACGCATAATCAATGAAATGAACATCATCTTGAAAGAAAGCTCATATCACTATGAACCGTACCACTCGACCTAATTAAAAAAACATATGCAAAAAGACATTAATATTAAGAAAAATTGTATTTTTGGTTCTTCAATTATATTCATGGTATAGATTTAGTTCTTGTGCGAGATGCGTGACAATATCATTTTAATTCCTATGTTATGTATGGAGTGAGAAATTTTGTCTTTGAAAAACTAAATCAACTACTTTCTTAATTAAGTGGCAAATTGGTGGTAAAAATAATGAACGAGGGACTAAAGTCACTTCATATATAACTTAAAATGTTAAAAATGATCGAGTATTTAACTTAGAGACTAAGTTTATACCACGGATATAACTGAATGATCAAAAATGCAATTTACCCTTAATATTATATATTTACCGATTAATTACCACAAACACATTAAACTTTAGTAGTGTTGTCGGAGGTAGTCTCCGGCGGAGGAGCGGCGGCTCGCGCCCGAAACTTGACTAAAAAGTAGCCCAAAGCATGGCCAACCACCGCCACGACAAACACTCCAATGTTGAAAGACATGACGGCCAGCATAACCAAGTAGCCCAGAGCGACGCGAACGGCATAAATAGCGGCACCAACCACCGGGCTTCTCAGCGGCGGCATGGGCGCCGCCGTCAGAGGAGAGGCAGACAACACCTCGACGATGAAAGCGAGGCAGAAGATGAACACCAAAGACAGTATGTACATGCCCAGGCGGTTTTCCGGCCATCCGTCGAATAAAATGGTCACATCTTTGCCCCAGAACAGACTCATATGCATGGCCGCCGACATGTCGCCCATGTCCATCATCGTACCGTTATTGTACATTGTACTATGTTCATGCGACATTTTCAATAATAAACTGTGAGATCAACACAATTTGGTTAGTTTATTTGCAATCCTAAAAGTCATAATGGGTAGCTTTATATTTGCCCCCAAAGGTACGGGGGCATGGAAAATGCCAAAAAGGCACGCCGTGTTGTATAGTTCAATTCGATGATTTGAATTGTTTAATGTGGGATATCCCCGGCCGAATTGACACGAAAGAGGCTTCATTCAAGTAGATGATTGTTTAATTTAATTTACTTTGGGCGGCTTTTGTCTGCTCCTTTCATGCTCTTTCAATGGCATTTATTTTATATTTTTTGTTCTATGTGTCTATGTATATGTATATAGCTAACGAGATCCTTATACAACTGGGTATTAGGGTTAAAAAGATTGATAGAATCGTTTATTTTATTTGTTATTTTTTGGCCAAGACAATTATCAGTTATTATTGTGTGGACCATAGTACACACAAATTGTGTGAATCATATTTTGTATGTTATAAAATAATATATATTTAGTACAAAAATAATGTACTTTTAATATATTAATAATGTACATTGTATTCAGGGAAAGTACATTATTTGAGTACTGAAAGTACATTATTTTATATAATGTATATTCAATACGCAAATAATGTACATTTAGTATATTAAAAATGTACTTTTTGTTATAGTCTACACAGCACTGTGTGGACCATATATAGTCCACGCAATAATTTGTAATGAGATGCTGTTAATGCATATTTTTAGGTTTATTTCATTGAGCGCAGCTTTGTATTTTTTGAGTACTATACACTCGTTATACCCTGGACCATGGTCCAAAAACAGCGTCATTTCTTTAAGTAAAGAAATGGATACCGTTAAATTTTAATAGAGCCCGTATTTTTTGTGTGACAAAATAAAACTAAAATGTATCTAAAATGAAATTGTCTCCCATATTGTCTTTATATTATCAAATGAAACTGTAATTGAATTGAAATGATACTTTAGTTGTTTTGAAATGAAACTGCAGTATATAAAAAATGAAACAGAATAATATGTCTCACATATTGAGTGTATATTGTCAAATGATATTGCACTTGTGTTGTAATGAAACTACATTGTATATAAAATGAAACTGAATAACAGTTTCACATATTTGAGTGTATATTGTCCAATGAAACTGTAGTTATATCAGAATAAAACTATATGTGTGTTGTAATGAAACTACAATGTATATAAAATGAAACTGAATAACAGTTTCACATATTTGAGTGTATATATGTACAATGAAACTGTAGTTATATCGAAATGATACTATAGATGTGTTGTAATGAAACTACAGTGTATATAAAATGAAATTGAATAACAAATTCACATATTTGAGTGTATATTGTCCAACAAAATTGTACTTAATTATATCGAAATGATATTGTAGTTGTGTTGTAATGAAACTACTGTATATAAAATGAAACTGAATAAAAGTTTCACATATTTTGGTGTATATTGTCCATTGAAACCGTAGTTGAATTAGAATTATAATTATAATTTAATAGGTGTTGCAATAAGACTACAGTGTGTATATATAAAATGAAATTCAATAACATGTTCATTCTAATAAGACTATTGTATGTATAATGTCGAATGAAACTATAGTTGGAACAAAGTGAAACTGTAATTGTGTTGAAATAAACTGAATATATTATACAAACAAAACTATTTAACGCGGAACGGGTGCCCTTTGTTTTTCATTAAAAGAAACGGCACCCTTTTAGATCATGGTGCACGATAATTCAAATGATTACCTATCCCATTTCGTCTTGTGTTACTTTTTTAATGAGTTGATCAAATGTTCATTTTAATTATTTAAAGGAATAAGGGTAAAATAGGCCATCGAACTGCACTCAATAATGCAATTAGGCCACCGAACTTTAAAAAGCTACAATTGGGTCCCTGAACTAACGAATTCTATTCAATTAGTCTAATTTGTAGGTTTCCAAGTTGTTAGCAGGTTATCCCTTTTCAAAATTTTTTTTAATTATTATTTAAAATAATTATTTAATATTAATAATTAAAAATAAAAAAAAAATAACAAAAAAAACAGATCGACACGCCGGAGACGAAGAAGGTTTCTTCGTCTCCGGCCATGGAGACGGAGACGAAGAAACCTTCTTCGTCTCTGGCTGGATATTTTCTCCATGGCCGGAGACGAAGAGACTCTTCATCTCCGGCCATGGAGACGAAGAGTTTCTTCGTCTCCGGCCATGGAGACGGAGTTAACTTCTTCGTCTCTGGCCGGAGACGAAGGAACCTTCTTCGTCTCCGGCCAGAGACGAAGAAATTAACTCCATCTCCATGGCCGGAGACGGTATCTTTTTTTTTTTTTTTTTTTAATTTTAATTTTAATTTTAAATAATAATTTTTTTAAAATATTATAAATTAGGGGTGACCTGCTAACAACCTCCAAAACTTACAAATTGGACTAATTGAATAGAATTAGTTAGTTCAGGGAGCTAATTGTTGCTTTTTAAAGTTCGATAGCCTAATTGCATTATTAGGTGCAGTTCGATGGCCTATTTGACCCTTATTCCTTATTTAAATAATTTATGCGTATATACTAACCAAAACGCAAGGTGAAACAACACAACTCTGGTCAGACCTTGATCTTATAAATGTTTCTAAGTGCTTCACAAAACACAAATGGTTTCGTGGTGTAGTTGGTTATCACGTCAGTCTAACACACTGAAGGTCTCCGGTTCGAGTCCGGGCGAAGCCAGTTTATGTTTTTATTAGAGGAATAATTCTTAGCGGAGAGATTGTAAAACGAAATGTTGCCCATTACATTCCCTACGCTTCTTTGAATTACTCTGGCGCGATTAATAAGCAGTAGTTGTTAGGATTTGAATTTCTTATCAGTTTTTTATTATTTTCCTACTCTTTTAATTTCTTTAAATTTATTTATTTTTTATGGTTTGACAATAATCAAATAGTTAAGAATCAATTTGCTAGAGGTGTTTATTATACAGTTTAAGAATTGAATGCATGAAGATTCATATTTTCCTACTCTTTTAGTTTCTTTAAATTTATTTATTTTTTATGGTTTGACAATAATTAAATAGTTGAGAATTAATTTGCTAGAGGTTAGTTTCTTTAAATTTATTTATTTTTTATGGTTTCACAATAATTAAATATATAGTTGAGAATAATCAATTTGTTAGAGGTGTGTATTATACCTTTAAGAATAGAATGCATGAAGATTCATCTACTAAGTTGCATGATCCGGTAGCCAAATGGTTTGCTCCATTCACATGGGTGGGGAGCACCCAACCTCATGCTTAAGAGACGAGGTGCTGAACCACTACGCCAACCATGTTGATTTAAGTTGCATGATTATATTTCTTGCAATTGACAACTTTTACATTTTCTTGTTTCTATTTACATTTTCTGAGAAAGATAGAGTTGGTTGAACAAGTTGACGGAAAAGAAAATGGCAAAGTAAATTATGGTTCCACTAGAAATGTAAAAGAAAAAAGTCGAATCACTGAAGAAAAGGAAGACACATAATTAGAAACATGTACTAATAAAAGTTAGTACTTGGAAGAGTAAATGGAAAGTTGAAATACAATTCAACTCTTAACACGAAAGAAGAAAATCAAATCACTAAAAAAAAAAAAAAAAGAGAGAGAAGAAGGAATGGGTAAAGTCCCATTTTAGGGATGTAATTGAGAAATCGAGGTAGGTTTATTTTCATGCTCGAAATAAAATGTTTTGACATAAAATGATTAAATGAATGGCAAGGTATATATATTAATCATCTTTTCTTAACATGACGAATAAATTTCAATTAGAAGAAGCAATTGTGACTCCATATTTATTTCTATGTAGTAATGCTACACATCTCACCTAAAATTTTCCTTCCTTATTTTTTTTCTAATTTTATCTTAACGTGGCACTATTTGATTGAGTTGCTTATTATTTAATTAAAACTTTCATAGAGTTTTAAAGACTTTTATGAACTTTAAAAGTTGGGAGATATTCAATTCAAACTTTTAGAGAGTCTTTAAAAGTCAGGCGGTATTCAATAAAGATTTTTAAAGAGTCTTTAAAAGTCGTGTGGTATTCGATTAAGACTTTTAAAGAGTCTTTAAAAGTCATGTGGTATTCAAAAAGTTATGAACTTCTGTAGACTTTTTAATTTTAAGACTTTTGGAGACTTTTTCTTCTCAAATATAAATAGTTGAAATCCAACCATCAACCCCAAGATTTCAAAATTTTCTTTCTAACAACTTTGAATATTTTCTCTCTCTATTTAGACTCTATTTTTTCTCCCTATTTAAACTTTATAAACCTATCTAAATTCAATAAAATTATTTTTTTCTTCATTATCCTATATTTTTCTCATACTTAAACTTTACCAATTTTCTCTCTCTCCTAAACTTTATAATCTTTATCTAAAAATTCGAAATAATATTATTTTTACTTCATTATTGCTTGTTTATATTGATTTTTATTTTTTCTATGAATTTTTTATCCCTAACTTTCTCTATTTCTCCCTAAATACATGAAAAAATCAAATTTTTCTATCGTCAAATTTTAATATATGTTTCATAATATTCATATAAATACTTATATATTTTGATTTTGATTTTGATTTTTTTTATGTTTATATTCGTTATATATATATATATATATATATATATATATATATATATATATATATATATATATATATATATATATATATATATTAACAACAAGTTACTACAAATAGCGAACTACTGTTTGCAACAACAATTTGTGATTGCTAACAGTAGCACATTATTGTTGTTCGCAGTCTCAAATTGCTATTGCAAATAATAGTTTTTTGCGTGATGCCTAGCAATATATCAAGTATAATTTTATATAAATATTATTAATATTAGATTTTTATTTTTTATTTATGCAACTTGTAATTATATTTTTAAATATTTAATTTTATCAATTATTTTATTATAAATTTTATTGTTCAATATTGTTATGAATTTCTAATGAAATAGTTTTTTTTTTTGTTGATGTTGATTAATAATAATATATATATATATATATATATATATATATATGTATGTATGTATATATATATATATATATATGTATATAAAAGTAATTAGAAGTCTCGACATACTATGGATAAAAATAATAATGTTGAGAATATTGATGTGGGTGAAGAACTATATAATAAGAAGGATTTTATGATATATTATAAAAGTTTTGTAAGAAAATTATATAAATGATAAGAATCAAAATCATTGAAAGTTTGTAAGGATATATTCAATTAAGAATTTCAATGACTTTTGTAGACTTTTTAAAATAAAAAGTTGATAAAAGTCTATGAATGTTTTTTATATATATACTTTTATAGAGTCTTATAAAGTTTTAAAAAGTTTTGAACGACTCTATGAAAGTCAATCAAAGTTCATTAAAATCTATCATTTTAAAAGTCTTTAAAACTCTACAAAAATCATGATTGAATACACCCCCCTTAAAAGTAAATTGGTTAACTAGTTCATAACACTCAATAAATATAAATATGAGAGAAAAATATTAGGCAAAATTTATGAGGGAAAATAGCAATGCAATTTTCTACCTCCATGGCTCCATACCACTTATTATATTAGTATAAACATTAGTCAAATAAAATAATGTCAGCCACAAGACTAATCCAGGCCAGGTCAGTACTTTGATAAAATGACCATATTATATATTGGTGATGAATTCCAGGCCAGTTCAGCTGTAGCATAGTTTATCATAGTTCTTCTGAGCTCATGGATGTGATGGTAGGATGTGACGATGAATTTGGCACCATAATGCACAAGCTCATTTCAAATTCAAACAAATTGAAAGTCATCTCAATCGTAACAATGGGAGGGATCGAAAAGACAACTTTGATTAGAAGAATCTATGAAGATGCCTCAATTATTTCTCATTTTCAAATTCGAGCATGAGCTACTGTATCTCAAGAATATAACCTTAGAGAAATTCTCCTTAACCTTCTTAACACCAATGGAGGAGATATCTCTAATCTACCAAATCAAGTGCGTCAAAGGTTGATGGATCAAAGATACCTAATTGTGATCACTGTTGCAAAAATCGGTCTAGGCGCCGCCTAGGCGCTAGACGCCTCCAAACCGTGGTGATTTCCCCTCTAGGTGCCCGCCTATGTGACCGGCCGCATAGGCGTCCGCTTAGCGCCTAACTTGGCCAACTTGGCAGCCTAGGCAGCCGCCTAGCGTCTAACTTAGCCGAGTTAACTCGTCCATTTCGATCGAGTTAAATCGCATTGGTGCATCTTTTACCCGATGACACCCAAAAGGGAATTATGAAGGTTTTGAATTTATACAGGGTACTATGAAGACATTGTCTCAATAGTATCCCTATTTTTATCAAAGAAGGTACATCTGGTGGTGGTTCAGTTCTCTGTCATGAACGGGACCAATCATCAAGATCAACTCAGTTCTATCATGAAGGAAGCATGTCTACTCAAGCTTATATAATCGTATTAAAAATATTATTTAAAATAATTCAATATAAGTGAGCTATAACGCTCACGATTATATAGCTATCCCAAGTCATGCAGCTCATAAGAACTTCAAAGTATTTCAAATGGATGTAAAAAGCGTTTTTCTAAACGGTCTTCTTGAGGAAGAAGTCTACATTATAAATTTTATGAATCTACAATATAAAAATTATGAATCTACAGTATAGAAATTATGAATCTACAGTGATGGGGTGTGAACCTCGTGGGCTCAGGGCCCAAGAAGAGAAGGGGTCAAGTCCAGAAGAAGAGAGGCCCAAGAGAGATATAGGCCAAACCGAGGGGTCGGCTCGACCCCAAGGTCGGCGCGAGTGAGAGGTCGGCACGAGTAGGAGGTCAACCCGAAGATAGCCGTTAAGCATTTAAGAGGCAACTTGTTAAGCACAAGCCAATTTTGTGACGAAGGATATCGAAGATGTATCCTTTGTTGAAGGTCTAAAACTCAACTTGTTAAGCACGAGCCAATTTTGTGACAAATGATATCTAGTATAATTTTTCATAACTCGACCAGCTCGACCTTGCTAATTTTTTTTCATTATATATATATATATATATATATGTGTGTGTGTGTGTGTGTGTGTGTGTGTGTGTGTATGTGTGTGTGTAATATGACATATATACACCCGTAGACTAGTTTGATACTTTGAATCATTGGATGATTGAAGTATTTGAGTATTTTATATTTGAGTATTTTTAATTTTTAATATTGTTTTGATGTTATGACTTATGAATTATCATTATTTCATTTATTTGGATGCGTTATTTGATTGAATGTTGAAAACATCATCATTAAAATTGTCAAAATGCAAGTCTGCCACTGTTTTTTTTTTTTTTTTTTTTTTTTTTTTTTTTTTTTTTTTGCGCCCGCCTAGATTCCGCCTAGGCGCTAGGCGCTGTCCAAGCGTCCGACTAACGCCTAGCGCATACTACAACCATGATTGTGATAGACGATATATGGGGTACCAATGCATGGGATGATGACCTCTATAGGTGTTTCCCTGAAAGTTTCAATGGGAGTCGAATATTGATAACTACACGGCTCAAATAGGTGGCTGACTATGCTAGCTAGTTCAGGTAACAATCGTCATTACATGCGATTTTAGATTCCAATGAAAGTTGAAATTTATTTTACAAGAAAGTATTTGAGGTAAGTGGTAGTAACATAATGAAAGTATTTTTGAACATTTTTCTTCAGGATCTGTGTTAGGTAGAGAATTCATATTTTCAGCAATAATATTCCACCATAGGTTTAGTGATGGCTGGTTGAAAGAGGTTAAGAGCCCAACAACCACGATAATTATTAGAGGTAATCCATGACATTTTTCAACAATACCTTTACCAACTGTCTCAAATTTAAGGGGGACTTTTTTTCCTCAAATACTTTCTTGTAAAATAAATTTCAACTTTCATTGGAATCTAAAAATCGCATGTAATGACGATTGTTACCTGAACTAGCATAGTCAGCCACCTATTTGAGTCGTGTAGTTATCAATTATCGTGGTTGTTCGGCTCTTAACCTCTTTCAACCAGCCATCACTAAACCTATGGTGGAATATTGCTGAAAATATGAATTCTCTACCTAACACAGATCCTGAAGAAAAATGTTCAAAAATACTTTCATTATGTTACTACTACTTACCTCGAGAATTGAAAGTTTGTTTTTTATATTTTGGTGTTTTCCTGGAAGATAGTGAAATTCGTGTGAAAAAATTGATTAGGTTATGGATTGCAGAGGGATTCTTAAAGCTAGAGTTGAATGACACAATGGAAGAAGTGAGTGAGGCTTACTTACATGATCTTGTAGATAGAGGTCTAGTTCAAATTGTTAAGTGGAGTTTTGGCGGTAAAATGAAGTATTGTAGGGTTCATAATGTGTTGCATAAATTGCTTGAGAGAAGCTCAGAGGGAGAAGCTTTTGTGCGTTGTAAATAAGAATAGTGTTGAAATGGGTGGACTTAAAATGCATTCTCATGAGAATAAAGAGAACCATGTCAACAAGCTCTGTTCCAAAAGCTTGTTGTTGGGTTAGCAACACATTTCCCTGTTTTGAGGTGCTAAGGGTGTTGGACATATCTACAATCCCAATTCATGAACTCCACATACCAAGTGAAATAGTGAGTTTTGTTAATTTGAGATATTTAGCCTTAAGAACAGAGAATTTATTTACAGATTTAGGATGGTTCAAGCTTCAAAGTTTGCAAATCTTGATTTTATTATTATTATTATTATTATTATTATTATTATTATTATTATTATTATTTTGTATTAACTACTACTTTCTACTAAAACGGAAGCCAAAATTTAATATTTCGGGTATGCCACGACTAAGGCATGTTTATCTTAAAGGTTGTTTCCTCAATCTCCCAACATTGGTCCAAGGAAATCTACAAGCTCTATCTTGGTTGAAACTATCTTATCAAGGTCTAGACTTGAAAAAAAATTCAAACGTGAAGAAACTTGGGATTTACATTGACGGTAACCATGTTTCAGAGCTGCAGCATGGTTCACTTAATGATCTTGTCAATTTGCATAAGTTGGAGAACTTGAAAATTAAAGTATCATACAAAAGAATTGAAAATAGTTACTTTCGACTTCTGACAGCTTTACCTGAAAATATCAAGAAGTTGTCACTTTATGATACTTATCTTTCAAGGAAGGATATGACCATTATTGGCACATTGCTCAACCTTGAGATTCTAAAATTCATAGGGTATGCTTTCAGTGGCCAAGAGTGGAACGCAAGGGAGAATGAATTTTGCAGGTTAATGTACTTGCAAATTCAAAGGTGTATTTCTATTTTTGTAGTGAGTAAGAGGAAGATGAGGAAGAGCAAGACCACATAATATGAATCACATTAATCGTGGGCTGAATATGCCGTGTTTAATGGCAAATTATGCTATAGACCGGTGTCCATCATGTGTATGATGGACACGCTGTATATCATAATTTTTAAACTGTAGATTCATAAAATTTATAATGTAAATTCAAAATTTTTATATTGCACATTTATAATTTCTGTACTGTAGATCCATAATTTCTAAACTGTATAGTTATCAAATTATGAACACATAGTTATCAAATTATGAATCTACAGTACAGAAATTATGAATGTGCAATATAGAAATTATGAATCTACATTATAAATTTTATGAATCTACAGTATAAAAATTATTAATGTACAGTATAGAAATTATGAATCTACAGTACAGAAATTATGAATGTGCAGTATAGAAATTATGAATCTACGGTACATAAATTATGAAAGTGCAATATAGAAATTATGAATCTACATTATAAATTTTAGGAAAAAGGGTCAAATAGGCCCTCAAATTTTAGCTTAAAAGTCAATTAGACCCTTAAACGTTTTAAAGGTGCAATTACACACATCAACAATTCATTTAGGTGCAATGAAGTCCAAAAATAAATTAATGACCTCCTATCACAAGTCATTAGGGTTCAGGCCACCTTCCAACAAAAACAAAATGTGACAAGTGACCGACCGTTGAAATTTCCGGCAAAAAAAAAAGTAACCGGCGACCGACGAATGGTCGCCACCGGTCACTTTTTTGCCGGAAATTTCGCCGGTCACTTTTTTTTTTTGTCAGAAATTTCGCCGGAAGGTGGCCTGAACCCTAATGACCTGTGATAACAGGTCATTAATTTTTTTTTTTTTTTTTGGGTTTCATTGCATCTAAATGAATTGTTGATGGGTGTAATTGCACCTTTAAAAGGTTTAGGGGCTAATTGACTTTTAAGTTAAAGTTCGAGGGCCTATTTGACCATTTTCCTTAAATTTTATGAATCTACAGTATAAAAATTATGAATCTACGATATAGAAATTATGAATGTACAGCGTGTCCACCATACACATAGTGGACACGGGTCTAGGGCATAACGCTCCGTGTTTAATATGCATCAAATAAAAACTTTAAAATTAATTTTTAAACTTTTAACTACTATATCAATAGTTTATACGTAATACTGGTAATTTGTTGTTTGATTGTATGAATTTGGCTTGTTTGGACTTATAGTTAATACTACCGTGTAGTGTGATGGCATCTTGATTACCCATTCAAATGGATGGTCATAGGCTTGAACCCCAGTAGTGAGGGTTTAGATTCTTTGAGCTAAAAATGTATTTAAAAAAAAAAAGAAGATAGTCAATCATAATTTTTAATTATTATTATTTTTTAAAAGTTGATCATTCAATTGTATTTTTGTGTATAGATCAGTGACCAATTTGACCCATATTTTAAAAAATTATTTTTCTTCGAACTAATGAGCTGATAGTGAAAAAACTCTCAGGTTCTATACGTATTTTGCACTTTATAACCGATTCTTTTTCATTATTTTTGCAAAATCTTCCTTATATTTATATTCATTAGATTAATAGTAAAATAACACATAGAAATAATTTTATAACATTATGACTTCTCGAATTACGGATTCTTTTTCATTTTTCCTTTTTTTTTTTTGCTAACCTTATTATTATTAAGTGTTTGGGCGCAAAATTAAAATGGTGAATTTTGTTTTTAATAATAGTATAGAGTATATATTATTAATAACCGATTCTTTTCCAATTTTTTTGTGTGCAAAATCTTCCTTATATATATTCATTAGATTTTTTTCTGAATACTATTAACTCTATTATAATGCAATATCTATTCTTATATATATTGATTAGATTAATAGTAAATTAACACCCTGTAGCTAGTTTTAATCTAAATTATTAGACAATTTAAGTTGATTTACCTACTAATAGTTCATTCTCTCTCTAGAATACATCTAGGGTTTTCGCTTACATATTAGGGTTTCTAGGTTTTCACAAGGTTGCCGGAGGATCCGTTCGGTCGAATGGCCGGGAATATACAGGTTTTGTTCGATGATGAGGGCCGGGGTGTGCAGCGGCAGAACGACGTCAACATTCGACCTCCAACGCCGGCAGTTGCGACGGACGTTGAGGCTGGTGTGGCGGTGATTACCGAACGCTGGGCGGAATGGGCTTTGGAGGAGGAGGCCGATGCTTTCGTTCCAGCAGTGGGCGGAGAGGACGGTAGTGAGGTGGGAGAGGAGGAGGAAACATGGAAAGTGGTTGGACGATTCCTCACGCAGAAGATGGTAAAGCTAGATTTTATGAGACAGGTTCTCGCATCTGTGTGGCAGCCGGTCAGAGGAGTGCAGGTTACGGAGATCCAGAGAGGTTTATTCTTGTTCGTTTTCTTTCATAAAACGGACATGGACTATGTTTTGAATGGTGGTCCCTGGGCGTTTGAGAATAATGCGTTGGTTTGTCGGGAGGTCCGGGAAGGTGTGTTGCCGGGGGATGTCCAATTGAATACGATTGATATGTGGATACAGCTACATGATATGCCCAGGGGATATACGACGCAAGCTATCTTGGAGCAGGCCAGAAACTTTATGGGCACGTTTATTAAGCATGATGACCGTTATGAGGGGGCTCCGTGGCTAACTTTTCATCGGATACGGGTATCCATACCGGTTGATCGTCCTTTACAAAGGGGGATGAAGTTAATGAAGCGGGACAAGACTACTGCATGGGTCACTTTCCGGTATGAACGGCTACATAAGTTTTGCTATTTTTGTGGTTTCATGGGACACCTACACACGTTTTGCATTCATGCAAGGGAAGCAGGAATACCACTGGAACGGTACCCGTATGGTCCGAATATGCGTGTTGGTGGATCCCGAAGCGCTCCTAGAGCGGTTGGGGATAGCTGGCTCGTACTGGTAGGGGGGCGTCCGCGTCCGATGGTGCCTCGGAAACCGGTGGGTGTCACGGCAATAGTGGATTTGGAGGAAAGGGAGGGGGCGGGAAAAGTGGCGGAGGAGTGTGTGATTGCGTCGGCGAAGCGTCGAAGGCAGGTGCAGGAGGATAGGGTAGAGGATATGGGTAATACGGGTGATGTCACAATGCAAGGTGGCTCAAAAAACTTGTCCATGGCGGGAGCTGGTACCTAGCCCCGTCCATCATCATGAGTACTTTAAGTTGGAACTGTCGTGGCTTAGGCAATCCACGCACAGTTCGACAGATTGTGGGCCTAGCGTCCAGTAAGAAGCCGGATTTTGTGTTCTTGATGGAGACAAAGGTGCCACGGATACATGTGGAACGGATCCGTGTTACGCTTGGGTATGAGGGTTTGTTTTATGTCGATAATGATGGGTTGAGTGGTGGAATGGCGCTTTTGTGGAAGAAGAATAATACGGTCAGACTATTGAGTTACTCACAGAGTCATATAGATGTGGAAGTTAATTTGTTTAATAAGTTGTGGCGCATGACATGTATATATGGTATCCCGGAGCGAAATAGGCGGGAGGAGACTTGGGATTTGCTGGGCACTCTGAAGAATAGATCCTTGTTACCCTGGGTGGTGATAGGGGACTTTAATAATCTCCTTTATCAACATGAGAAGAAGGGGGGAAATCCATACCCTAATAGCCTGTTACGGGGTTTTGGAGATGCTGTGGATGGCTGTGGTTTAATGCAAATGCCAATGAGAGGTCACCAGTTTACATGGGAGAAGGGAAAAGGGACGCCGAATTGGATAGAGGAAAGGCTGGACAAGGCCCTGATAACGAATGCTTGGGGTGTAATGAATGAGAACGCATGGCTGGAGAACATACGGACCCGGGCCTCGGATCACTCGATTATTTTCCTCAGTATTAATGCAATATGTATGACTAGGGGAAGGGGGCCGCGGCGGTTCAGGTTTGAGATGGATTGGTTGTTAGATGAAGGGTGTAAAGAAGTGGTGGAAACGTCCTGGCAGGAGGGAAGAACGGAAGGATTGCTATATTGTCAGCGGTTGTGTGGAGAGAAGTTAATGCGGTGGGGAGGAGATCAATTCCATAAATTTGGTAAACGGATTAACTAGCTACAACAGAGGCAGAATACCATTCGGAATAGGCGAGATTCGGCGGCCCTAGCTGAGTACCAGCAGATTGAGAATTCCCTGAAACAGATTGAGATCCAGGAGGATGTGTTCTGGAGACAGCGAGCTAAGCAGCACTGGCTTCGCGGAGTGGACGCGAACACAAAATTCTATCACAGGTATGCCTCTGCTCGTAAAAAAAAGAATTATATTTCAAGTATTAAATGTGATGCGGGTGACTGGGTGGAGGGGGAGGTTATGCATGCAACTGTTCTGAAATATTTTGAAAATATTTTTGCCTCTAATGGATTGAACTGTGATGATCCACTATTTGGCGTCC